AACAAAAAACAAAAAACAAAAAAGAGAGGCATGCATAGCAGAGCTAAGGTCTGGATTTCATGTTAATTATGATAATGACGATAGTGATGAGGAGGGGTGCGATGATGCGCAGTAGCTTGCTATATCCCAAACTAGAGGGAAAGGAAAGGGAGTTGCAGTTGGTTCAAGGAGTGGAGGACCTAAGAGGCCTCGGGTTAAGGGACCTATGTATTCATTTTTGCCCCAGCCTGACCTTGAGGTTGTAGGTGAAAAAACAAAGAAGCAAACAACCATTAAAAACAGAATCAAAGAAGAGCGAGAGAGAACTGCTCAGTACTTTGCTAGGTGGTTTTATGAGGACATTCATTTCAATGTCATTTACCTAATTCATTTCAAATACTTATCGACCATTGCATGCACTTGGTTATTATTTAAACCCAGTTATTTGGACATTCATTTCAATGTCATTTCTACACACAAATGACACAATTCTGAGTCGATTTAATAAGTACTTGGACATGCTAATCCCTAGTTATGATATCCAAGACATTATATGCACTGATGAGCTAAGAAGTTACAAGTGCACATTGAAGACTTTTGGGAGTCCAATGGCAGTGAAACAAATGACCAAAATTGGAACAGGTAATACTATACTTACCTTAGTCCTCAAGTTCAAGTTTCATGTTTGTTGTTTGTTTTTTATATTTCATATATAATCATAATTCATAATAGATTTGTAGCTAGTTGGTGAGCTTTGTTGTTTGTTTTTTATATTTCATATATAATCGTAATTCATAATCAATTTGCAGCCAATTGTTGGAGCCAACATGGGTGTAGTGCTCCAAGCTTACAATAGTTGGCCGTTCGGATCTTGAGCTTAACCACTACCTTGTCCAGCTATAAGCAAAAATGGAGCATTTTTTAGATGGCTTATTAGTTTATAGTTTACTAATTAGTCTAATTTGTATTAGTAGTTACAAGTTAGTGTTTATTGATTACTATGTCAATTGTAAATTTGTAATATTAATTAGTTTCATTTGATTTTGTTAGATTCATACAAAGAAAAAAAACATGCTTGAATCAAAGAGGCTCAATGACCTAGTTTATATGAAATACCATCACTATTTGAAGGAGAGATTTGCTAAGAGAGATAAGAGAGACCCCCTCAGATCGAAAAACATGGATTATCCATAGAGTGGTTGGTTGATGATGATGAGGTCAAGAGGCATGAAGGATTGACATGGGATATAGTCATGGAGGCCTCAGCAACAGCAGCCGACCCTCCTAGGCCACTAGATCTTTACAAAGGATGAGGAAGGCGGAGGAAGCAGAGGCAGACTCAAAGGAGACAAAGGACGACCATTATATTGAGAAGGGAGATGATTATGATGATAGGCTTGACTCTGATGCATATGATGCAGCTGACCCTACCTTTTCTGATGATGAATGATGACTGATCACTAATTTGAGTCTTCAAGTCTATATGTTTTCCTTTTTCTTTTCCTCCTCTTATGTGTATCTATGGACTGTGGAAATGGAGTACGGAGGAGTGTCTGTGGACTATGGAGCTTTGATATGTCATATATGTTACTTCTTTCTTTTTCTTGATGATGAATTGATGACTAAATTTGAAAATTTTGAATGTTGGATTATATTTTCCAATTTTACTGCGTATGGAATCTATGGAGTATGGATTAATGGTCCAAAATGTATGGATTGTGGAGTAATGGACTATGAATGAACTATATGTTATATATTCTTAGTGTGTATATGCCTCAATATGCATTTTTTAGTTTTTGTATAGAATCTAGCTCTCAAACAGTTGGATCAGACATCCTCCTATGCTTTTTTTTCTACTGGAGCTCTCCAGGTTTTGGGTGCCCGCTGAGGCGTTGGGCAGCCTGGACCCCCCCGGCCACCTAGGCGCCGCCTAGCATTTTTTGGAACACCTGTTCAGTACTGACCATCAAAATTACCAATTTGTGCCTTATAGAATATGGCAGGATGAAGCTTAGATTGGGTTTTTAATGGTTGTAAAATCAATTTGTGCCTTGATTGAAGATGATGGGTGGAGCTTGAATTAGTTTTAATGGCTTTGAAAGCTAGGGCCTGAGAAAGATTGCCTATCTCCATTATATGACTCAAATTGAAGTAAAATTTCTCCCAAACGTGTCTACAATAAGGGCTATTAATGTGATTAATATGAGCGTTTAGAGGTGTAAAGCAAATGCTTGTTGCTTCTACTGCAAACAAAATTCAGGGTCAAGAACGTAGGTTTGAGCTTGGTCTAAAGGAAAGAGCAAGTCATTGGCCAATGAAGGGTTAGTCCGAGAATCACTCCATGTTGACACAATTTTACTGTTGGATTCCTTAGATGTTAGTTTGATATCTCTTGACCTTTGTTTTATTTTTTTTATTTCTTTGTTTTCTTTTTATAATAATATTTTTGTTAAAGTAGAGAAGAAAAAGAAGTATGACTTTCAACATCAAGCATATAATATGCTCCTGAGTTTCAGTACTAATATGAATCTTTACAATAATTTGGTAGCAAGCACTTTCAAATTTCAAAAGACTGACTAGATCTCCAAGTTTGATAAATTCCAGGTTGTACCAAACAGGTTTCCAGACTCCCTCTAAATTCCAGACAGGTTACCAAACGCAGTATTTTCCAATAAAAAGAGCTAGATCATAAAGCTTCATAGGAAGAAGGAACTTCCAGGTTTTCGATAACAGCATGTTTCCAGTTATCAAACTGGCCCTTAGAGTTTAGACCATGGATAACTCACCAAAGGCCTCACAAGAAAAAACAATGCCCGGGCTCCGGTGAGGAACATGACCGTCAACCATTTGACTTGCAACTCATGGACGTGACTCCCTTGACACACCCGAGTAATGAGGCAACATGTACCACAATGTAGCATATCATATGACTTTTTATGACAAAGTGATGGGGATGCCGAAGAGGTGGGTCATATACCATACAATAGCAGTGTATATCTTAGGAGTGACAGAGGCATATATTTGACTTAAGTCAGAACCAAGCAGAGTCATGGATTGCTCTGGAGTCATGTGAAATATGTTGAAAAGAGATTGGGGGGATATCTTCATAATGGACAAGGAAAATTGGTCCAAGCCAAAAGTAAAATTAAAGTATAAAGTATAGTTGCTAGAAGTGTCTAAGAAGCATATATGGAGAGGTGCATCAAGCAAAAAGATGACTTTGCATTGAGAAATGCCTGAAGATGAACAGAGTGATTAATTTTGGGAGTTAGACACTATCCCAATTATTGCAAAATAAAGCTTGCTTAACCCTTAATTACATCCAAGTAAATTCTTGCAATTCTCTCTTTCTAAAAAAAGTTTTAACTAAAACTAAAATTTCAAAATTATAGGAAGTAATAAAAAGGCCAAATAATAACAGAGAACCAGAATCTCATCAGCAATAAGCATCATCAAAGCAACCCGCCACAACCACGGATAACAGGGAGAGTGCCTCATTATAGCCCTCTTGTTCCTGGAAAGTGTCCAGTATGTGAGCAACCATGCAAAGCTGTTTGGATATTTCACGTTGTTGTCTAAAAATAGTTTTATGTTTGTTGGTAGATATCAGGAATGCACAAACTTAGCCAAGGATTTGAAAGAAGGAAGTCATATCTTGATCCTAACATACCCCTAAGAATGATATCCTACAAACAGCCCCAAAAAAGATATTATACAAACAAAGCTGAAAAAGGGGAGGTCTACCATAATATAAAGGAGTACAGTACAACACATTTATCCAGTATTCACCATCTATTCCCAATGGCATACATTAAAGATTAACAATACCTAGGAAATGACTATCATTGAGAACTACAGTAATCTTCTGCCAGATCTAGTAGGAATGGATTGTGGCTAGCCATGTCATGCACAGCGTTTGAAAATTTGGCCGCCCAGACGCCTAGGTGACCACCTAGGCGGTCAATCCCCTAAAATGCCTAGGCGGAACCTAGGAGGGGCACCTAGGCCGCTTGTGCCTAGGCACCGGTCTAGGCAGGCATGTTGCCACCTCTATGCAGGTTGCTAAGGGTGGAAAAATGCCCTCGACCAAGGTCAAAATAGTAATTTTCCACCTAAAAAGGGGGGCAAAAGGTTTTAGGGGACATTCTAAACCCCCAAAACCAAATCCATGTCATCTAGAGAGAGAAAAACTCCTCAAAAACCTCTATTTTGTGATTTATCGAAAGATCGATAAATTTTCAATTCTTCCGAAATCAAAGGCAATGCTTTGTGGTAGTTTTTTAAGCTTCTAGTGGCCAATAGTGAGGACTTTTGGCAATCAAAATGACGAGGTTTGGGCCGACATCATTTTCATTTTGATATTTTTAGAGCATCATGCCATTATGATATTTGAATAAGGATTTTGATTTTTTTGCTATAATGTATTATGTTTTGAATTCATTTTTTTTTTAAAACTTTTCAATTTTTATATTTACATATAAAGGTTGATTTTTTTTTGCGATTAATTGATTACTAGCTCGTTTGGACAATGAAATTGGTCCTATATCGAATTCTTCTATGAATGATTGGTTCTTATTTTGTACAATGTGTGATGTTGTGGTATCCTATTAGTTTTGTTTTACTTTTTTTATATTTTTACATATTTGTAGATGGAACATTTACCAATTTGGACTTATATTTTGTGAATAGTCATAAACTTTGGATGAAATTGATATTTTATGAATATTTGACGTCCAAAACCGAATATTATAAATAGTAATTAATAAATAATATTTATATTATAACTTATATCTTAATTCGTATGTAAATAGTCCCTACCCATCCTTGTGCTTGGCAGGCACCCAGCCGCCTAGGCGCCCAGGCCCCCAAAACGCCTAGGCGCCCTGCCTGTGCTTTTTTAAACATTGGTCATGCACGCTGCACCACAATCCCTACACCAGCAGTGTATGGTGTACTTTTGTACAAGTAATTGTACAAGACAACGCAAAGCAATGAAAAGAAACTGAATAAAGCAAACTTACTGTTTGATTTTCTCCATCGCTGTCACTCTCTTCTGAGCAACTCCCCCCATCTTCACCTTTGGCCCTTGGAAGGGTTGTGCTTAAATTTGGGGGACCACATATGAGGCAGAGAAAATACTTCTTTGCTCGGGTACTGTGGCACATACAGAATATTAGCCCAGGGAACCAATAGAAAGCATTAAACTACATAAAATATAAACACAGGAAGTAAAATGATGGCAAAGGATGGTCCAGCATATCAACCAAAAGTCTTTTGATTCCATTTATAGAAATATACATGGTAGGAAAAAAAACTACAGCAGGCGATATCAAACCATGAAAATTGATAAAAAAACAAGGAAATATCTTTATTTCTCTGTGCTTTCGCTTTCCTTCAATTAGAAAAGGTTGTAAAGGGGCTTTGGCATCTTCACAAGAGGAAGTCTGCTCCCAAAACATTTCAAAAAAGGCAGAATTCTGCAGGCACTTCTGGCACATTCCAAGTCGCACTATTTCACTAAATAAAGCCAACCAAAGAAAAATAGCAAAAAAAGCCATCCAGTACTAGGCAAAGATTTCATTGCTTTTAAGGTTTGACCAAGTTTACTTCTAGATCTATTTATAATTGCAACAATGTGGAAATTCTTCATCTAATCATTAGCTTTTGAACACAGCATATGGTTCGTCTCAACTCCATGCAGTTAAGTCTAGATTTTATTTATAGCTTAAGGGTTCTATTTGGGGTTTTATGGCACTGTCATAGAGATTATACCACCAGCAATGCTGATATAAGCACTGTGGAACATTTTGACAGGCATTGAAGTTCTTGCCTTTGGTAGGATTAAGAAATGAACATGGCACTTAACTGATTTTCCAACATGCCTTTCACATTACAACAAAAAAGATAGTTGTGTGGTCACCATATTAACTGATGCAAACAGGAACAGTACTGCTGGCAATCCAAGCCGAATCAGGGCCCCAATTTCCAATCCGGCACGTCGGAAACAGGTCTATGCCACCCCACCCAGATATTAGTGCAACGTCAAAGCCCAACCAAACCAAGTACGTAGTAATATAACATAAAATAACCCAAATATATATTATAATATGTAATAGATAATAGTATATAATAACCCAGAATATTATAATTTATAACAAATAATAATACATATTATAAATTCTATAATATATTATATATAATATTCTATAATCTATTATATATAATATAATGTAATAAAATATAATATATCACATATAGTATAATATATCACATACTTCTACTATATACACATATATATTCGTATTCACTAGAATACTTGTATAAATTTAAATGTAATATGCTTATATAAGCTGACTAGGGTCGTGTCGGGGCCCTTCAGATCCACCCTGGGTAGCGTTTACCTAAGGGGGGCTTGGACCCTACCAGGGTCCGAGTCTCAATTGGACCTAGTCAGATCGAGTCCAGGTCAGGGTCGATCCCACCCCAAGCCAACACATTTACAGCCCTAAAGAATGTGGACATAGTGATTATGCATCACCAATGAATTATAAAACAAACTTACAAGAAGATACACCTTATGATGGCTGGAATCACATGCTTGTCACATATCAATATCAAAACATACTTATACTGTCGTTAACACTGTCATGATAAAAAGGAAAATAGGCGTTTGTGGAAGAGAAACTTAGTATAAGTTGTTTTCATTTATTCATCAAGTCTTTTCATCCCTTTAGTCTCCCCCTCTTCTCTCCTGTATCTAACTTCAATCCCTCTCTTTACTCATTTCTCTCTTTTCTCAGATTCCCTTCCTCACCTCATTACTTTTATTCAATCCCTATCTTGCTCTCTATCTACCTCGCACTTGTACCTCTCCTCTCTTCCCTACCTCTTCTTTCACCCTCTCTACTACACACTCTGGGGTACTTTACAGTTGTAATCTGTGTGAACTTAGCTCTCTGCCCTCTTCCCTCCATTTTTACTCTACCTTCTCAGTGAACGCTTCGGCCCTTAGCCTTGAGGTTACACAAGAAGCTTCCGCTTACAGAGCACAGGTCTTTAGGAGAAAGCCGTTAGCAGGGACAGGCCAACTTTTTCATCTTCGCAACTTCCCCTGCAGTATCACTTACCGGTGGTTTGCCTCATCATCATGAAGTTTGGCGAGCAAATTTGAAGACTGATATACTTAGCACGTAGGAACAGTTTCAATACAGAACACGATTCCTACTATGTTTTGGTCGTTGCAAACTACATCGTCCACCAGGATCCTCAAGTGTTACCCTCACACCTACAGAAGCATCCCTGTTTGCTCGTAGCCTTGGTTACTAGGTCTTTTGTAGAATCTCTGTCTATTTTGGTTTTTTTACTTTCTTTTTTATTTATTTCCTTTTCTTTTCTTTTGTTCGATGTAAGAGCACCCAACTTGTGGGATGCTTTTTTTGTAAGATTTAGCTTTTGTATTTCTTTAATACATATATCAAAAAGTCAACATATTCCTTAAAAAATTAACTCATCAAGGAATTAGTCAAGAAAAACCAGAAGGTTTACTTGCTATGGCTCGCTTGTAAAACAGAGAACATACTAAATCATGCACCAGTACAAGGAACGAGTTGTAGACTATGAACAAACATAATAATAATGATTGGTGGAAAAAACAAGAACACATTTTACATCCCAAAACTTCTGAAATAGAACTCACATAATCACTTTAGATACCAAACAAGCAACATGGAATCCATAACAGTGTTGTACCTGTGTGGGTAATCAACAACCAAACCACCCGAAAATCCAGATCTCATTGCAGCAGAAGTGATCATCTCAAGTTGAGCATGATTTTCCGGATAAAGTTGTAACACAACTCTTGCTCCCCTTGCTAAACATCTATACAATGATCCAAAGAAAGCCCTGCAAAATATTCAAATAAAAAATGATATATTTGCAAAACGAGAAAGTAAATATTGGTTATGGAGTAAATCTGAGAATAGAATTTTATGATACATAAGTACCTCAATCTCAGCTTGGGGTCATTAGAACTCTTATCAGCATTGCATAACCACTGTCAAACCAAACAAGGAAATGTATAATTCCAAAAGATAAACAAAAAAGTACTCTAGATGACTAGAAATTCTAGTCCTAAAGTTCTACATTGCTTTCTTTATCCTCTCTCACTCGGCATGCTTTTCTCTTAAAAGGAATTGGATAAAGCATGTTTTCATATTATCTTCATATAAAGCACATTTTAACAAATAACATGGTGAATTGATTAAAAAGGCAAACATAATGATTTCTAAGATTGAAGGCGTGAGGGTCATGGGTATAGATATCTTTTACAAGAAAAAAAATAGAGATCGACACGGATGCATCTTAGAAGAAATTAACAAAGTTAAGGACACTGCATTAAGTAGCAAAATATAGTGAGAGAAAAGGATGAATAATAAGCACTTCAAGTTCAAATCATACAATGTACCTCTCTTAAATTGTACACCGAAGTGACATCTAAGAAAAAAAGGAAATTACATTCATCGAGGCCATGACACATTTCGGCCAGAAATCAGCACATCTTTACATATATAAGCAATAATAGACAACTGTAGTTACATGAGGCGGTGCCTAATATTTTATTCAAAGAATATAAAATTTCATATTCCAATCCATAATAGTAAGAGAGCTATAATACATATATTTAAGCCATCAGAAAATTGAATGACAAATATAGCATCATTTCTTCCTCTTTTTCAAATTCATACATAAAATACCAAACACCACAACTTAATAAACACTCTTAACTGCAACAGCAATAAACAAATAGGAAGAAGGGGCGTTTACAACCAACTGCACCTGTCTCTACAATTCAGTCCATTGATCTAAGAGAAGAGTTGTATATGATATGTCTGAATTGTAGAGGACACTGCAATTTGCTAAGAAAAAATAATGGGCATAAAATTAGCCACATAGGAAGAAGATCTAACTGCACAATACAGAAAATGCAGAACATCTAGAAGAGATTGGACAAAATGTGACAACATTTTTTCTTCTATATATCTAAATTCAATATGGTTTGGGATAATTTATTACATTTATTGAGGTTCTAGGAAAACCTTTAACCGTATGGGACATAAGAAAGAACACCTCAAGCTAAATGTGATTTGGGGAAGCATCCCAAAATCCAACGAGAATTAAAACCAAACCCTAAAATTAACATCTATGCAAGAACCCTCAACATGAATAATAGCTAGCTTTTTAAATAGAACCCAGAACTTTTTGAAGTGCATTTTCTTAATTCTATTATGCTTTTTTTTTTTTGACAAGGTTACATAGGAATGGAACTTGAGACGTAGTGCTATGATAACCCAACAGCTACCACCTTGACCCAAGCCCTATTTTTTTAATTCTATAATGTTCTGGGAGAAAAATCTAAAACCCTCTGAAGCATTTAAAAATAGGATCCTAGCTCCAAACAAGTATTTTCATAGTAATGTATTTTTAATGTGACCAAAAGTTTTACGTATACCGTATACATAATAATCCATTTGCAAGTTTTTCCATGCAAACCAGATTTCCCGTGATGACAAACAATTGTCCCTCTTGGCCTCTTTACCAGGTCATGGGTTCGACTTCCTTTGGCTCCATCTTAATACATAACACTTTCTTATCGAATGAATGAGGATGGCCAAGATTGTTGTTACTCTGCATATAAGTCATAAACTGCACTCCAAGAAATACAAAGACTTAAAATTATAGATAATGTATGTGCTTTTTTAACAACATTTATACAACATCAAACTCACGACACTGAAAGGAGAACAAAAATATTAAAACATCATAGAATGAAATTTTTTTGAAAATATTCATCAAAATTTTAAATTAAAAAGTATATTAATGAATCACATATTATATAGACATCCTCCCGTCCAAGGGAACCCTAAGTAAGTGCACTCGAGGGCCCTATTTTTAACCAGATAGTAGAGACCTGTACAATTTATCATCTGAGCCACAGAGAACGCCCCCTATGTAATGGGACCAAGCTAACCCACATACTTGGATCAAGCACCCCTCCATATAGGGATTGAGACCCCTTACGCAATGAGATCAAGCTCCCCCACAAATTGGAATAAAAATCCCGATATTTTAGGGTGTACAAAAGCCATCCCTAGGCTATGGACCTTCTTGCCTCCCAAAATCCATTGCTGCTGATCTCAATCCCAACAACTATGCCCAATACCCCATGAGGCCTGCGTTGAGGAGGTAATGGAATATTGGTTTTCTTTCCATAACATCACTCATGCAAGAAGTACAGTAAACTACCCGTGAAGGAGGAGAACACGATAGCCAAATCAGGCCTCGAAGCCTTGTTGCGAGAACCAGCAACGGAAGAGCGTGCTAGCATGAAAGACATTTTCTTGCTGGGCCAACCGCAAGGCAAGATATAGTTTGGATGGAAATCAATCGACGCAATCCGTGAAACACATGCACATAATAAAAAACAATTGTGCTATATGCTAAACACACATGTATTTCATTTTCCCTTGACTTACAACCCGCCCGGGAACACAAGTAATAAACATCCTTTTTCAGGACATATAATGAATGTTAGAGGTGAGGATCAGATTGATAGAGGGAAGGTAGGTTTTTCTCTACAAGCCTAATTAATGGGACCCTAGCTGAGAACAAGGTAGATGCATGCTCTACCCTACTAATGCATTGCCTAGATTTAGGATGGGTGTCTAACTTTGATGGACCCTCAATACCAAAAACTAAGTAGCTCAAACGCAGTTCTGAGGAGGTCCAGTGCTTCTCCCCATTTTTGGATTGGTTGTCAATATTTCTGGGATTCATTGAGGACTATAGCATTAACACATTCCAAGAGTTTCACGATGGGGCCCTGAATAATTGAGAGATGAACTCTACCTTCATTACCCTCTCTTTGAAAATTGAAGGAGCTAAACACATTGAAGACTATGAGCCTATTAGCTCAATCAATAGAAAATACAAGATCTTGGTGAACCTCTAATTTTGAGGCCAAACTATCTCCTCTTACATTCAGATCTCAATTGATGTCGCTTTAAAATTGTGTCTACTGCTTAAGTCAGCCTCTTTGTTGTGCATCATTTAAATGCTATAAAGGGCATCACGTTTTCCTATTTCCAATAACACGATTTCCTATTTCCAATAAGCTGAAAGAAGTATAGTTCAATTGCTTCAATTGGGGGTTCAAAGCTACAATTAGATTTTAAATCCATCCATCCCTTAACTTTGATCCCACAATAGTTGAATGAGGCCTTTGAGCTCATGGGACCCCAGAAACCTATGTGGAAATTCAAGTATGTCTGGGTGTTACCCAAACTTTTCAGTAGGAAGCCCATAAGCTTGCATTGAAAAAAGAAGCACAAACAAGTCAAGATGAAGAAGAAATTCTAGGTTTCAATGCAGCATTATCGCAAAGGTAATATGGTTACATACGTGATGAGCTTTGAAGTCTCAACCTTCTTTATACCAAATCAAGATACATGCAATTACACAAGCACACTAACCAATTCAATCACATATGCATGGCTTCATGAAAAAAGACTCATAAAGGGCCACCAGCATAAACCAAGAAATAATAGGACCATGGTATGCAAAAAAGCTACATGGGTAGCAAGGACTCCATAAGCTACTAAAAGATAGCAAGACAAAACTATATTCATATATTTCTGATTATCAAGCACATCAATACCTGTCAAGCATGATGTTCAAGCAGGAAACACAATAGAAATAGATAACAATCAATCTACATAAACAGATTCTAGTAAAATATGAATCAAATAGGCCAGACTAGAAGTAGACAAACCTGAACAGCTGAGATACTAATTGCCCCATCAATACATCCAGGACGGAGGCCCAAGCCCTGCATCATGCGCATTTTGAAAACCAGGTAATGAAGATGCCATTCACAAAAACATATAAAAAATCAGGCTGCATATAATGCATGCAACAGTGCAACTTTTTGAAAAAAGACAAGCTGCAGAAGGTTAGGGAAATTAAATTGATCAAGGAGCAAGGGACCAAGCTCGCTAATATAGGTGATCTTGTGCTAAACACACCAAATCCAACTTAGGAAACCAAAAACATTATATCTAAAGGAATCAACACAACAATACTGCGAACTCATGTTACTTTATAGACATGCATCAATTACTCCACTACTATCGATCAGCTAAAATGTTCATCACAAATAATCCCAAAATCATTACTTCTACAATAAGATATGTCCTACAGGTCTCCTCATGCAAAATGTTCCCATGCAGTGAGTGTGGCTTACAAGTTATCATAGTTGTGACTGTATGCTTCCAAATATTATCACAAGTCATACCAACAACCTCCAATTAATACACAGATAATTGATTCATGCCTCCAATCAAATCTAGCCATAGGGTTAAAGGCCAGCCAAAAAGTCACCAAGGGGCACCAAATTAAGTAATGGCACCCAAGGATATTGTATGAGTACCTTACAAAAAGAAAAGTACTTAATTGGACCAAATCAAAAAGGTGTATATAAATTTGAATATATTCAACTTCCATATAAAAAGGAACTCATTGGTCATGACATGAAACTATTACAAACAGTGTGCCCTTGCAGACCTCCTCTTACCAAACAAGTTTCAAACATATGCCAGAAACGATTTTTTTCAAACCAATAATAATAATCATGACCTGGCCAATATCTGAAAGTATGAGGTCACCCTCTGCTTCACGCTCCAATGCAATATCTGTTAAGATATAACACTTTACACATCAGCATTTCAAAAACGCATCAAACCCCTTCAAAGAAAACAAACAATTAATGCAACTACCAAGCATGGAATGTGATATATCCAGCCCAATCCATTGATGTCCATTCTCTGAGAGTGTTTCTCCACTAAGCCCAGATCCACAACCTATTAGAGGTAGAAATAACACAAAAAAAGTTACGTTTACACTATAAAACACCAACACACCTACACCAATTGATTTCAAACAAAAAAAGAAAAACATTATTAACCTACCCCAATTATCACAAATGTATTTTCTCCACCCCAAATTATAAAAGGAGACTCAGAGAATTACCAATATCAAGCAAAAGTCTAGAAACTCCATCATCAGGCAAGGCAAGAAGCTCCAATGCCCTTTCAGAAAGCTTAGCCTTCCATTCCAATGAAATGTAATAGATAAATAAGCCATAAAAGGATCATGAACACCCATCACTATTACTTCCGCAAGCAACATTTTCACCAAAAATAACAAAGGAAAGCAAAACAAGCTTATTTTACATCATAATTCAATAAATACAAAGCTTCGGTAAAATCATAATACCTGGATTTCGATTATACGAGATGAAGTCGTATACTTTCGAGCTTCAGTTTCATCATAGAAGAACTCTGGAGGAGCCTGTTTCTCAGGCCTTGAAGGCATCTTTAAAATAATAACCCTAATTTGAATACAACTCTGTTAAAACTCAAGCAAACCCCATAGAATTAGGGGATTCTCATTCAAATCCGCTTCAAAATTAGGTGTTGATTCTAGCAAAACATTAAATCGTTAAGGTTTCTAACGGCTCAACAATACAATCATAAACTCAAAGTAAAATACTTACTTCAGCGATATTGAATAAAGCCAGATGATTAGCGTTTGAATTAGCCGTAAACAGAGAGAGAACCGGAGCTACGGTTTCAGCAGGACAGGTAGAGCGAACACATTCAGCCACAACTTCACTGGTAAAAACCAGCCCTTTTAAAACCCGCCAACGATCCGGATGGGAATCAATCCGTACCAAAACGGTTCCTAGACCCCGATGGGAACCAGTCGTGACCCCAACGGCTCCTCGAGTGTATTGGTCCCAGTCGGTTCCATCCCTAAAATTCACTTTATATATTAAAAAAATAAAAAAGAAAATTTATATACGATTGCAACCTCTCATAAATCCATCATAAAAAAAAGAGTAATTTTAATGTTGGACAACCCTTTAATTGGATCATCTCGACTTCGAGATGTATGAAGATGAAAAGAAAAAAGATTTTGAGTCCCAAAAATAGTATATCTTGCAACACATTATCTAGACCGCCCATTTTTTAGATTTTCATATGTTTAGATATCTACTTGATTTGAACCTTTTTTAGAGTTTAAAATTTTATAATTAGATGAGAATCAATCCGGACCAAAGTGGTTCCTAGACCCGCATGGGAACCCGTCCTGACCCAAACGGCACCTCAACAGTTTTGGTCCTAGTCGGTTCCATTCCTAAAATTCACTTTATATATTAAAAAATTAAAAAATAAAATTTATATAAGATTGCAATTTTAAAATGTAGAATTACGGTGTACCTCATAAATCCATCATAAAAAGTAGTTTTGATGTTGGAAAATCCTTTAATTGGATCATCTCGACGTCGAGATGTATGAATATGAAAAGAAAAGAGATTTTGAGCCCCAAAAATAATGTATCTTGTAACACATTATCTAGACTAGTTACTTTCAATATTTTTATGTGTTTAGATATCTACTTGATTTGAACCTCTTTTAGAGTTTAAAATTTTATAATTAGAAATAAAAATAGACTCTTAAGTCATCCTAAAAAATTTTGACACTAAAACTACATTTATAATAAAATTTGGAGGTGCGCCTTAATTTGATTGTTTAAAATTGCAACCTTATGGAAATCACACCCAAAAAATATTATAGGGGTAAATTATAGATACCTCTATGGCATACATGCCACCCCCTAATACTTAGAATGCCACACAACTATCCTAATCGCATTTGTATTTGCATCCACCTCCCACGGTTAAAAAATTAAGTTTTTTAAGTTGAAAATACCTTGACATGTATTTAAAATAGTTTATGCTGGGTTTATGTGGCCTTTAAAGGCCTTTATGAGTATGTAATGAAATATTATAGTGGAATATAAACTCAGTGGGAGTGTGGTCCCTCGTGGACCATACTAAGCAAATGATGTTTGTTGATACCAAACTGTGCTTGACGATCTAGGCCAGTCGGTTGGAAAATACATGGGCATAAAGAATAAACCGATAATGGTTTTGGGTTAGCCCTTGATGAGGTCGGAGCTTATGCCTAGATGAGCGAACCGAGGTACTGTATGACCTTTGTGTGTGATGGTAGGCCCACAGAGACGGGGGTTAAATCATCATCCATGTTCTATCACACAGCATGCATATCGATAGATCGTTCAAGAAAGCCAGTTATCCACCTTTGGGTAATGCATATGCATGTACGAGAGAGAGATACCTCTATGTACAATAGAGCTGTGGTTGCGTCAGGTCGTGGTGACCTTGACTTGACTCTAGGGGAGGACCTATAATCCATAGACTGGAATTGCGACCCCTTGGCTTATCGGCCAGATTTTGGTGACCCGCTAATAAGCCCCTGCTTAGATTGTGGCTCATGAGAAACACTGGATCGGTTTGATAAAGCAAGTGTGGTTGGCAGTTCACAATTGAAGGTGGACTACGCCGTGATTGTGGATAGAATTCTTGAACCATATAGATTCACTTCTCATCATATTAATTTAATTGTGTTTATTTTATTATAGAAATGATTTTAGATTTATGATTTGAATTTTTATGAATCTTTTAATATTTTATTTATGATTTTTTTAAATTATAAAAATGAAGTTATTGATTTTACAAATTATATAAAATTCGAATAATGTTTAAATAAAATTTTAAAATATTTATAAAATTTTCATGGGGGTCCATAATGCACATGGGCCCACCATGTGGCAAATCGGTGGGGGCCCACATATGCCACATATGGGTGGCACGCCCCACCCATGGCTTCCTTTGTTATTACTTTGATATCAAGTTTTGTAATTTTTTAGAAAGGCCATCTTATAAGCATATGGTCAATATTGTTGGGGAAATATTGACCATATCTGATATTGATTATTGATAGAATATCTTGACTTGATATTTCTTGATATATTTTTATGGAATATATGAGATAGATAATACAATTTTATGGAATGTATGATATATTTAATATATTTAATTTATTTAAATATATTGATGGGGAAATGGTTTAAGGAAAAGGGGATAATGGTTCATGCATCTTCCATAATGCTGATTGCCCATCTATGGAATGGATGGCTCAGATCTTTCACCTGACAAGGCATCTTGATCAATGGTCCATATTCAATTTCAAAAAAGAGGCAAACTATGAAAACCTTAAAAAAAACATTAAACCTAAATTTCACTATAAATAAGGGTGCTCTCATTCCATCTCAACGCACCTCTCTCTCTCTCATAAACTCTCTCTCTCCTCCCTAAGGGCCATGCCCCTCTCTCTCCTCTCAAGCTTTCTCTCTCTAACCCTCTCTTTCTCTTTCCTAAGACCCATAGGGGGCACGCCCCAACCCTAGGTCTTCTTTTCTCTCTCTCTTGACCTAAAAATACTAAGGGTTGGGAAAATAAGAGTTTTGTAGAGATTTAAGGGTGGTTACCTAGTTTGGCCGAAATGAACGTTCTCGGTTCAAGATTGAAGCTAGACCGCTAATCCAACGCCATTGGATGTGGTGACTCGATATGGGGTGTAATAAGCCGGGTTGAGATAATCTCCGGCATTTTCTCTTTTACTTACTTTGCTCTTTTATTTTATATTCTCAAGCATAGTATTAAGTTATAAAAATGACATCAAGTGGTTGAGTTTTATTTTTACTGTTGTCCTGTTTTATTCTTGAAATATTTATTTCTTGTAAAAGACCATCTGTAAGTGATATTTTTGCCAAATTAAAAAAGGTGATTATTACATTAAAAAAATAAAAAAAATTGTATTCCCCTGGGAAAGATCACGTAGGTCTTTCTTTCAGTTTCACCCTCTCTAAAATTTTTAGAGAGAAATTATATCGAATTTAAAATTTTAAGAGAGAATGCATCTCAAATTTTTGAAAGAGAAACAATTTCAAACTTCAAGTTTTAGAGAGAGAAATAATCTCAATATTTTTTATAGAGAATAATTATCTTAAATTTTAAATTACCTCAAATTATATATTTCTAGAGGGAGAAATTTAAAAAAAAAAAAAATGGAAGCCTTTGAAAGAGAAGGATGGTAATGAACATGGGTTTATGTATTTGGGGTGCTTTTTTCCTAAAAAAATTACTTTCTTGTTTGGGTTTTCGATGCAAAAATAAATAGTTTTGAATTTAGTGGTGTGGTTAGAAAGGCATTGTTGGTGGGCATGCCTCCAAGAGGGTATCGATAATTTTCCCAAATTATAGATACGTTCATTGACCATACTTTCTATGTCCCCCAATATTTTATAAACCACATTAGTGACCACTAAATATTTATTTTTCTACCATCCCCCAAATAAAATAGTAATGTTTTTTACGATGAAAATACCCCCATTATTATATACATTTCTCTCACCCACTCTTGGTTTTTTTAATGATGACGGTCTGGTACAATGTGTCAAACCACCATCATTTTAAACCATGTGTCAATCTGTGCTAGATAAGGCAATTGTTTAAAATGAAGCCCGTCTAGCATAGTGTTGCATCAGACCAGCAAATTGTTTAAAATAAATCCGATGTTGCATATATTATGTTGGAGTGGTTTGATTTTTGTCTTGAGAAGAAAGTTTTTAAATCTGTGTGGGGGAATAGACCTCTACAATTTTGCTGTAAAGAGTCTATAGGTGGCTTTGGTGGTATTTGGACTTTATGGGACCCTAGTGTGCTTCAATGTATATGGACTATTGTTGATAACTGGTATATTTCTTGTAACTTTCTGCTTTTATCTAGTAACTTTTACTTCATGAGTACGAGTGTTTATGGGCCTAACTCTCCTATGCTTCGATCAAGTTTTTGGGATGAAAATTCTAAATTTGGTAGGCAATTCTCTTTACCCTGGATTATAGGTGGGGATTTTAATGTTATCAGATGGCCTGAAGAATCTACTACCTCTCATATGATCAATTCTTGTAAGAGAGGTTTTTCGAATTTTATATTCCGACAACTGGGGCCAATTTGACATGGTCTAACAATTGTTGTACTAACCCTATTATGACTAGATTGGATAGGTTTCTAGTCAATAATAGTTGGGCTGAGCAATTTCTAAAGGCAAGGGTCAGAGGCATTCCCAAACTTTCTTCAGATCATATCCCTCTGATTTGGGAAAATGAAACACCTATACATGGGAGATGGTATTTTAAATTCAAAATGGCAGGGATTAAGAATAGAGAGGTTAATGAGTTGGTGAAGAATATCTGGCAAGAAGTAAGGGAAGCAGGTTGGAGTGGTTTCAAAATATCTAAGAAGGTGCAAAGTGTTAAAAAGGAACTTATTAGATGGAGACAAAATAATGGTGTTAACTACAAGAGAAAGATTGAGGAGATTTTGAATATGATTTTTGAAAGTGATGTGAAAGAAGGGAATTCAAGAGGTATCGAGTGTGAGGACATAATTCCTAGAAACAATCTTAATAGGGAGTTACAAAGATGTTTGATGGAGGAGGAAATTTATGGGAAGCAACGAGCTAGGGTGAGATGGCTGATAGAGGGAGATCTGAACACTCGCTTCATCCATGCCACAACAAATGCTAGAAAGAGAGTAAACAGTTGGTTGAGCCTGATTTCTCATCTTCCCAGGTTGGCTTGAATATGGGTAACCTGGTCGAAGGAATCGTCTCTCAAATAACCGCAAGGGCCACACACGTATGTGCGCATGTACTAGTGGTGCAGAGATGAACCAACAAAAAGAGAGATTTTATGCGTAATAAAGTGTGAGTGTGACTCACGCATAAGAGAGGACGTGTAGAGTGTAGATGTGTGAGGGAGAGATAAAGTTTTGAGAGGGAGAGGTACATACAATTGAGGGAGAAGAGAGAGAGA